CAATGTGCTGCGCAAATAATAATTTGGCTGAAAATAATGATCCTCAAAGGCAAATGACACATGCACTATACCTTAGTAAATTGAGCCTATTGTCTCTGTCATTCAGATAAACTCAATAAACCACAAAGACTGTCAAGCAAAATAAAAAATATTGATGTTTATGACATCATCACTGTCACTTTCTGGGAGCTCTAAACCATTTACAAATACTGTAATTTACAAAGGAAAACTGGATCCTGGATCTAAGAAATGACATCTATTCTCTAAGGCACTGTAAAGACATTTTATTTTTGTGGTTGTCATTCAGACACTAAATGTTTTCTTTAGGCTGTTTAAAAAAAATATAATATAGGTGACTTTTGATAAGTAGTTGAGCATCCAAAAAAGTTATCATTCGTCAGCACCTAATGTCACCTTGTCTTACCATAAAATGTTGTTAACAGCTGTGATTATAACACTCCATAGTACTCTCTTAGGGGTAAAAAGGGGGGTCTTTTTAGACTTTTTTAATTTATGTCTGATATTAATGCTGTAAGGAGAACAAGTTCAGCGACTCACACCACCTTTCAAAAATGTTTTTGTTTGACCAGGAAACTTCAGGAGAAGGTAGATGTACTCAATACTCAATCTATAAGAAGCCTTGCTTTCGTTGTATGTTGGGTTAGACAGTAGGGGGTTTCCCAGGTAGTGAGAGTCAGTCTGCAAGATCTTTCAAACTGGCCACAGATAACAATACATTAATTCAATGCTGCCAATCTATTGGAAGAGGAATAGGAGCTCCTGGTGAGAGGACTAGCAAAGAAAAAAAAAGAAGCATGTTGCAAAAAACATATACTCTATATGGATTTTTTGCGCTATGTTCCTTTTTTTTGTCTTCCTTTATCAGTCGTGCAGAGATATTTGGGAATGTAGTGACCTGATCCACAGCCATCATCACCCTGCTAAGGGTTTCTATTTAAAGGGGTTCTCTGCATCCCTCCATCTCCAGTCACCCTAGAATACTTTGTGAGAGCTTCTCTTCCATTTTAGAGCTTCTCTTCCCTTGTATTACAAATACCTATACCAAATATCTAGCCAGTGGCTAGATAGGGCCTAAGGCTTATAGATAGGCCACATTGCTATTTGCATTCCTTTAAAATTCAATGATTATCAACACTGTCATTGTTGTTATTATTGTCTGTAGATCCATCCCTCTCTTTTTTGCCAACTGTGTTCTGGCAAAACCATTCACATGCAACCACAGGGGAAGAACACTATTTACTTTGTCCTGTCTTTATTACAGTGATTGATAACTTGATAACCTTGTTGTTGTCAGATTGGGTTATTTAGGGCTCTTGTCAGCCAAACTAAAACTCTTTGTATTTCTACTGGTATGTTAGTGAATTGCCGGGTCCATTCAAGGGTAAGTCACCACTCCAAGCACAGCCCAACAATCCAGCAACTCCCTAGGGAGTCAGTACTACACATGCTCTGTTAGACCCAATTAATTGCAAGAGCATTAGTGTCCTAAGTTTTGGATAAATGATAATACATTTTGCATGCAGACTGTAAAGGTAAATAATTTTTTAATTCATAAATGTAATATGTAATTTTGTTGACCACTTTACATGTCATCATCTAAAAAAAAGAGTGCCAGTGGACATGGTGCTTAGAAACTATAGGACTAGGGATGAGATTAAAGTTCAGAACTAACATAGGCTCGAGTTCATTCAAGGTTTGTGACATGGTGAACTAATGTGTGATTTTGCCACCATGGTAGCCAACTAACCATAATGTTCTCCCTGCCCTTTGAACCTAGGTCAGATAGTTTATGAGAGCCAAAAAATGGATAAGCTAGTCCCACCACCACCACTATAAAAGACTGGGTCCTCAGCAGGTATACAGTATTAACAGTGTGCTTAGCTGTGATAGAGAAAGCATAGGAATTACTGCTGATAAAGTGCATAGGGACAGATTGATGTGTTCTTTAGGCTTAGGTAGAGCGCTGTCACCCCATAAATAGACTTGCCAGCCATTCTGCAAAATACAGGATTGGCCCAGATTTAAAACTAAAGTCCTGTGCGTGTGTGTGTCTGTCTGTGTAGTAACATCCCATCAGATTTTTAGGTACCATCTGCTTTTCTGGCATAACATGTAGTTTTACTGGCTCTTGTCTGTGAGCTACACAGATATTGTAAAACTTTAGTGAACCAACACAAATTAATTTTCTATACACTGGATTTAATTTATTCACAGCCATTGATCAGTCATGTTGGATACTTGAAAGAAACATGAATGTATTACCAAGTGCTGTACTGCAGTATGACTAAATTTGTTACAGGTCTTATGTGTGTTTTATAGGTGAACAACAGACATGTCAAATGTACTGCTTTGTATGAATCATTTATCATTGCACATTGTATACTGTGACTTTTCAGCCATTTATGTTTCAAATTTTTGCAGGATTTGATGGATTTTTCTCCTTCAAAAGTGGTACTGTAAGTCAATGGATGTGCTGAAATATATTGGACCAAATCCAAAAAAACAAGCTATGTTTTTTTTTCTCAGTGACTATAATGAAGCTCTATTGTTTTGTCTTTTGTTATGCTTATTTTTAAAATGTGCACATCACGTACCCACAGAGGAGGACTACCACTGTGCATAAAGTATGTTATCATATATATTCAGCATTATTTCCCATTGGTACAGTTGAAATGAGATGTCAGTTGTCGTTCTCCAGAAGTTGCTGCAAAACAGGATAATAGAGATATTTTTTCAATTATAGAAAAGTGTTGTTTTAGATGTGTGGGATTACACCTATAGATGTCCTGCTGAAGAGTTTTAAGTGTTACTTCCAGTGATGTTCTGAGATGCTAAAGTAGGCTGATCAGACTTTCCTGATTTCTGGGGACAGTCCCCAATTTTAGGAGGCTGCCCCTGGATAAAAAGTGTGAGCTATATCTGCAACCCAATAATCTAGCATTAAAGATTGCTAGTTTTTGCCGCCACCTCCCAACAGAGTCCTGGGCCCTGAGAGTGACTGTATGGGGCTGTTTAATAATTTATGTTTCATAGTTTTGTCTTGCAATGTAGGAAACATCTTATATTCTGTGGTGTAGTACCATATTAGGGAGTTATATTATATATGGATAATGAGTCATGTTCTATTCTGGCTATGCTTCTCATTGTATTATGTTATATTGTGGGCACTGCATAGTAATGCATGATCATGGTCTTTGTTATACCTGAATGCTAGCTCTGGCATACTTTTCCAGTGGTTAATCTGTGTTTTGAAGACTGTTGTATCATGAAAGGGACATTTTATAAATAGCATGTGAGCAAAGTCCTTTATTTCCCTATGGTCAGGGCCGGTGCTGCCACTAGGCAAACTAGGCAGCCGCCCAGGGTGCACTGCTACCTAGGGCACAGCCTTGACCATTCACCCCCCACAGTTCATCCGCACCCCTCCTGGGACCCTCTGCACCCCTCCTGAGACCTTCTGCACCCCTCCTGAGACATTCCACACCCCTCCTGAACCCTTCCGCTCCCCTTCTGAGATCTTCCGCACCCCTCCTGATACCCTCCACACCCCTCCTGAGACCTTCCGCATATTCACCCCCCACAGTGCCCCCCTTCTATTTCAAATTGCAAAAGCCAATAGCAGGCTGTGAAGCTTCCCTGTTTTAAAAATGTGCTTTTGCGGTGGTATTTTGGTTTTTTTTAAATGTATTTTTGGAGTATATTACTTGTTATTTTATGTGGAGGCCATTTTTTTTTAAAGTGTGCTTATGTTTTAGAGGTGCCCCTTAACAATCCTCTTCACCCCCAGTACCAAAACACTCTTCCTCCACCTCACTGCCAGCAGCATGTGGTTGGTTGCTGTGGGTCCAAACACTGTGCATACCATTCTTTCCATTTTGAACAGTATCCAACAGTATATACTTACATTTCCTGCATGCCCCCCCTGCTCTTTCAGTGCCTGGAACCGAAGAAAATACTCTGTACTTCTCAATATAGAGGAATATGTGACTCACTCCATGTTAAAGTGCTGGTCCAATCAATGCTGTCACACAGGGCGTCCATAGGCTTTTTATTCACTCTCTGAGGCTGAACAGAGCAGAAGGGGAGTAAAAGGAAGCTAAGTAGATGCTGCTAGAGATATCTTTATTACAGTGATCAGGTTGCTTTGCTCATGATTCACTTTGAATATATGTTTTACTCAGGCATTGCTTGTGCTCAAGCCTGCAAGGATGAGTCAGGACAAGCACACGAGGAGGCCAAACAGGCTGCTCCCTGTGCAGTAGAGTACCTAGTGATTTCTACCATTTTGTGCCAAACAATCCTCTTTCTTCCTGGGAGGAAACCTGTGAAATCCAACTCCAAAGAGAGATGGTTCCATGTTTCTTCCTTATTAATTGCAAATATCAGGGAGCTGAGCAAATGTGAACTGTAACTGAAAAAACAATGTTGCTCCTATTAGGCTTTCTATGCTCAGATCCTGTATGTGGCTATGGTCATGTTGCTAAGGCAAGTGTCAGGCACATTACAGTATATAAGCAGTTCTACCATTGTATGGAAAATGTGCTACAGGTAATATTTAGGGTTATACAACTTCATTGTACAACAATATCTTGCTTTTTCATCCTACCAGATATCCTTGTTTGAGGTATAAATGCATGTATATCTGTTCACTTTTCTAAAACATTCACCAATAATGTCCCTAATCTTTTATGTAACAACTGTGCATCTTTATTCACATAAACCAGGCTGATCTCCAGCAATTATTGAAAGGACTTTGTGCGGCTTTTATCATTAGCCTGATGAATCATTGGGGAACTCTTCTCTCTTGCTATACAAGGTCTGCAGTTAGAAAGGTTTACTCCCTGTGCTAAGCTAATTTCTAGGGACTTTGCACCCAATCTTCTTGTATTAAATAAGCCATGAGCCATTTCAGTGGGTAATAATTAATCTACCAGCTTTATGGTGCTGCTCTAGAAAATGTTTCCTACTAAGAATGAGGATTATGCAACAGTCCTGCTGAGGCTGAGCAGACGGTGAAAATGTCCACCAGGTACCACCAGGCAGCAATAGACGGTTATTTGGATATTCTAAAAGAAGCCACAAGAAAGGATGTTAATACAACTGATGCAGATGGCATGTCACCCCTTCTCTTGGCAGCATATCATGGACATTTGGATGTCTTGGAGGTTTTGTGCAACCGAGGGTAAGCTGATACATTATCTAACAATCATTAAAACTCTAGCCAAATTATTTAAATTGCCACTAAATGTGTATTATCAACATCTTTCTACCAGTTTATGTAGATGTTAATAGAATTAATAATTTTAAAAAGTTCTAATAAATGTTCAAACAATTTTTTTTTTAAAGTAAGAATATATAGTCTAAAACATACTTTTGTTTTCCCAGTAAACCGGTACAAAAAAAGTATCAACTGTAATCTTTCAATCTTGTAGACACAGCCCCTCTTTTAGATCTGGAATACAGACCTGAATGAAAGAAAAATGCTTTGTATTTTGATGATGTGTTCATTTTGCTCATAACTTTATGTTGAGTCCAACCTGTGAATGACTGTATTGCTTTTTTGCCAACAACAGTATTTAGGAAAAGAAATGATGATGTTCCCATACTATTTAGTTTCATATTTTCTATATTACTACAAAACCACAATATAAGTTTGGACACAGTACAAATTTATAAGAAATACTTTTATATGTAAGTGATTGTTTTCTGATTAGTTTAGATGTCTCCTAATGCATGGAAATGTGTATTTTCCACTTGAGGTGTTAAAGTGGAGACAGAAGCGTTTTGAGAAAGGGCACAAAAGCTTTAGAATCTCTGTTGGGCTTTTATTGCTTTGTCCGAATTTGGGAGATTCACCTTCACTTCCTGTGCCAACGACACTATGGACAAAACAGGAGGGGAAAGATAAATGCCTACTGTTGGAACAGTGGTAGAGAGGAAATCTCTGAATGGGGGCACAATTAGGGATTCAAAAATCACATAGATTTCTCCTAACTTTTGGTAGCTTTTGTCGTGCTTCTGGGACAGGATGTTTGGGGAAATCTCCTCAATAAGGGCAAAGACTGGAAAAAACACCTGAAAGGGATTCTTCTAAATCTTCCTCCTGGAAGAGGGAAAAGGCTGGAAAATGCTTGCATAGCCGGAGTCTCTCTTTCCTGTCTCTGTGTATGAGTATGAAGGTTTACATACATAGCTGTGAATGTTATTTCTTGTGGCCCTTTCACACAAGAAAAAAAGATTTGCTTTTAGGATTAGGGTGTGGTACAATATGCAAAATACAGCACCAGAAATTACTATTCACAGTGGTGACAGCTCGAAAATGATGAGGCGATGAATAACTTTAGAACACTGAACTTTGTATACCGGCCTTGTTTTTTGCACTCCACTGTTATGTAAGCCGGTTTGACAATATATTGCTTAGTAGATTGCACATTGTAAAGCAAAAGAAGGCATACTATTCTACACTTATTTACTAACAGTACAAAGAACATCTAACTGTAGTAGAACATTAATCCATTTAGAAATCAACGTTCTGAAGCTTACAGGGGGAAGACTAAAAAAGGTCAATTTACTGCTAATTTTAATCTTCTAATGCTCAGCTCTATTAAATAGGCTCATTTTAAACTGGAATAAAGTACACATTAAAGGGTTTTACCGTGTTCACTAACAATGTCACAGACCATTGACTGATCAGGTGTCAAAATGCAGCTGCTGAATCGCTTGGATCCTCTTTTTTTTGTGCCGGTTGGTGTGGTTCAGCTCCTGTTTTTGGACCCATTGATTGGGAAACCCCTTATGGTTGGCATGTGATGTACAAAACCGTATTTAAAAAAGCTGGTTGAATGACTGTCCACCTGCTCTTTGTGCCGCTGGGGCTTCCCAAACCCCTGTGCAAATACAAATTTATTTATTGGCTTAGGCATCCCTCCCTGCTTCCCACGTGGGACCTCCCGCACCCCTCCTCGGACCTTCCGCAACAGTACTGAGACCTTCTGCACCCCCTCCTGAGACCCTCCGCACCCCTCCTGAGACCTTCTGCACCCCTCCTGAGATCATCCGCACCCCTCCTGGGACCCTCTGCACCCCTCCTGAGATCTTCTGCACCCCTCCTGAGATCTTCTGCATCCCTCCTGAGACCTTCTGCACCCCTTCTGAGACCTTCTGCACCCCTCCTGAGACCTTCTGCACCCCTCCTGAGATCTTCCGCACCCCTCCTGGGAACCTCTGCACCCCTCCTGAGACCCTCTGCACCCTTTCTGAGACCTTCCGCACCCTTCCTGAGACCCTCTGCACCCCTCCTGAGACCATCTGCACCCCTCCTGAGACCTTCTGCACCCTTTCTGAGACCTTTTGCACCCTTCCTGAGACCTTCTGCACCCCTCCTGAGACCTTCCGCACCCCTCGTGAGATCTTCCGCACCCCTCCTGGGACCCTCTGCACCCCTCCTGAGATCCTCTGCACCCCTCCTGAGACCTTCCGCACCCCTCCTTGAACCCTCTGCTCCCCTCCTGAAACCTTCTGCACCCCACCTGGGACATTCCACACCCCTCCTGAGACCTTCCGCACCCCTCCTAAGACATTCCACACCCCTCCTGAGACTTTCACACCCCTCCTGAGACCTTCCACACCCCTCCTGAGACCTTCCGCACCCCTCCTGAGACCTTCCGCACCCCTCCTGAAACCCTCTGCACCCCTCCTGAGACCATCTGCACCCCTCCTGAGACCATCTGCACCCCTCCTGAGACCTTTCAAACCCTTCCTGAGACCTTCCGCACCTCTCCTGAGACCCTCTGCACCCCTCCTGAGACCTTCCGCACCCCTCCTGAGACCTTCGGCACCCCTCCTGGGACCTTCTGCACCCTTTCTGAGACCTTTCGCACCCTTCCTGAGACCTTCCGCACCTCTCCTGAGACCCTCTGCACCCCTCCTGAGACCTTCCGCACCCCTCCTGAGACCTTCGGCACCCCTCCTGGGACCTTCTGCACCCTTTCTGAGACCTTTCGCACCCTTCCTGAGACCTTCCGCACCTCTCCTGAGACCCTCTGCACCCTTTCTGAGACCTTCCGCACCCCTCCTGAGACCCTCTGCACCCTTTCTGAGACCTTTCGCACCCTTCCTGAGACCTTCCGCACCCCTCCTGAGACCCTCTGCACCCCACCTGAGACCTTCTGCACCCCTCCTGAGACCTTCTGCACCCTTTCTGAGACCTTTCGCACCATTCCTGAGACCTTCCGCACCCCTCCTGAGACCTTCCGCACCCCTCCTGTGACCCTCGGTACCCCTCCTGGGACCCTCAGTACCTCTCCTGGGACCTTCTGCTCCCATTCAGATGCTGATCTCTTTTACCTCCAAAAAAATAATCAACAATGTCACTGGCGCCAAAGTTCATCCTCCATAGGGGTAAAAACACCACTTTTCACATGAGGGCAGCACTTTTTACAGTCAGGGTGTCTGAAGCTCTAGCACACAGGAAACATAAAAACAGTGAGCCTCTCTAGTGTAGAAGTCTTTATTTAGTAGAAATATTAATAGCAAGAAATGTACTCACAAACAGCCAGTGTTAAGAAAGCCTGTAGTGACAGAGGTACATCTGCACGGTGAGAACATCAGAAGACAGTCACATCAAAAGCATGCAGTCTGGAGCGAACATCCTACTACTGGCATGACAGACTCGGTTAACGAGTTTCTGGGGCAACGCCAGAACCTACAGGTTAACACCGGCTGTTTGTGAGTACATTTCTTGCTTTTAATATTTCCACTTACTAAAGACTTCTACACTAGAGAGGCTGTTTTTATGTTTCCTGTGATCTCTTTTACCTGTCTAAAAAAAAATTACATTGTCCCTATATGTTCAGAAGATTAAATGGACTCCCATCCTGAGCCAGGGTACAAGTGAAAAAATATAACTGAACGACAAGAATCTATGTTCTTTAAATGCAAAGCTTTACAGTTATGCATGAGTTCTAGGCATTTAGGGTAAATAAAGCACAATTGCAGAAAACAAATATGCAAAACAACTGTTCCTTAACCGCTTGAAGACCAGGTGTTTAGACCCCCTTTACAATTTTTTTTTCCACTTAACTTTATTGCTATCACAGAGGGGGCTGAGAAACCCCCTTATGTGATAGCAAAAGAGGTGACAGGTCCTCTTTATGGAGACATCAGGGGTCTCCAAGACCCCTAATGTCACCTAGGACTTTAGCCATGTGTAGAATGCCTAGCTTCTACTCCTCCACCCTGCATCTCTTAAGCAGCATTTAACAGCTAATCTTGTTCATGAATGAGATTAAATAGACTCCAGGAAAGAAGACTCGCTACTCCAGGCAAAATGCTTAACCGTCACTTCTTGAAAAAGTGGTCATGGGGACTTCTTAAGTTGTCACTGTTTACATGTGATCTCGGCGACATCGCCAATTTCACATGTAAATGAAAAATTGGCTGCCTCACTCTACATTTAGTCCTGCTTGTACAAAGCAGGACTGAATGTAGAGAGGGCAACTTCCCCACAAGGACACCGCTGCCGCCCCTCCGCGCCCTGCCGCCCGAGGCCGGGCCTCGGTGGCCTTGTGGGGAATCCGGGCCTGCCCCTGAGGGCTTACAATCTTAAAAGGAAGGGATCGAGTGATACATGAGGAGGTAGCTGTGTGGGGATGTATTGTTTGACTGTTTTTCAACTGCGATTGTTTTGTTAGGTGATGCTCCAATTTCAGACAGCCACAGGACAAGTGCAGATGTAAACAGTTGTGAACTTTCGCAAAGCACATGCAATCGTTAAAATAGTGCAAGCTCTGGTCAAGCCAGGCGCACATATTAAAAGGAGAGGCTAAACAGATTTGCACATAAAAGAAAATGATCTAAGGGATTAAAACTGTCGCAATTGCTTTGATAAATTCCCCCCATTCTATATGAAATTTTCTTCTTCAATTTGTTTTATTAGGTTTTCAAAGTGCAGTGTATACAAAAACTGTCTATACATCGGGGGGGAAGGCCGGTATGGTGGGTCTAGAGAGGCCTAAGTGTAGCTAGTTTCGGGAAGGGGAAACCAGCCAGGAGGAGGGAGAAGGGAGAATCAGGAAGGGAGCTAAGGAGGAGAGCAAAGGCAGTAGGGGGAGAAGAAAAGAAAGAGGGTAGGTGGAGGTGGAGGGGGGCGGTGACTACCACCCGGGCGCCACAGCGCAATGG